TTTGCACCAGTTTTCCCTTCATGGCCCCTTTTGTCTGGTAGGTCGCTTCTTTTCTCTTACTCTTTTTTTTTTTTTTTCATTTTTCCCTTATTATAGTTAAATTTGAGTTTTTCTGATTTAATGAATTATTTTTATTATTATAATTTTACATAAAAGGTGAAAATTACACTTAGAGTTCACAGAAGAGAATTTATTATCAAAAAATTTCATAAAATTCATAAAAAGCTTCAAATTTTTAAATCCTGCACGTTTACAACTTAATAAAGGACATTTGCAATGGAACAACATGCATTTACAAGAATTGTTGAAAGTTTTCAATTTACAATGGGCATTTATTATAATTTTAAATTGTTTAGATCAAATTTTAACAGTCCAAATTTGTTTATATATTTTTACATAAATAATAATAATAATAAAAGTAATAATAATAATAATTTTATCAAATATTGGATCATAATTGTTGAAAGTTTTTATCTATCAATGATGAAAAGGAAAAATGAGGAAAAAGAGAGAGCAAGGAAAAAGGAGAGGCCCCTCTCCCCTTTTTGCCCATATTATTATGCCAAAATAAGGGTGATAAATACTGGTAAAAAAAAGGGTGATAAATTTTAGGAAAATTTTTTCCTAGGTCTCACAAAAGGATTCTAAACATAAAATTATTTCAAAGTTTTATATTCTTTATTGAAATTGTTAATTGCTGTTGGATAATTATTAATTGTAGTTGTTTTAACTGTCAACTAAACAACTCTACCAAGTACTAATTAATAATTACTTCGTTGTAGTTTTGTGATTTTATAAAATTTTATGTACTCAAATAGTTAAATTTTATCTGTGAGACCTAAAAGAATTTACGTATATATTGATAAAGAGTATTTACTAAAATACTATAGTTAAATTACTGGAAATTTCCCAAAATTCTATAAAGAGTATTTACATATTGATAGTGTTTAGGAAAAATTAATTTTTTAATCATTCAACTCTTAACTCACTTGTAACTCAATTCCTCAACTATGATTCACTGTGATTCAGTCTCTCAATTATAAATTTCTGTGACTCAGTCTATCAACTTTTGATTCACCTATAATTTGATCATTATTTTTAATTTTTTTTAAAAAATTTCTTATCAAATAAGAGAGATAAAAAATGCTCATATATTATTTTAAAATACCTCTTCTTGCTCATTGATGTGAGATATAAGCTAACATAAAAAAAAATTAACAAAAATTTAGGGACTGATTTGTAAGTGATTTAAAAATTGATGAACTGAGTTATAGGTAAATCATAGTTGAGGGACTCAATTACAACGAGTCATAATTGAGGGATTGAATTATAAATAAATTAAAAGTTGGATAATTAAAAAATTAATTTTTTTCTAGTATTTAATATTAATAATTTAAAAGGACAGAAAAGAGGAGAGAAGCACTAGTGCCCCCTCCTAAAAAATAGTAGGATTCAAGTAGTGGAATGTGATGCTGGTAAAAAAAAGGCAGTGGAATGTGATTGAGAAAAGTATATGTAACTTTTTCACTAATTTTGTGATTTCGCATCACTTTTTGTACTTAAATTGCTTATATGAACTTCAAAGTATTTTTTTCCCAAATTCTACTCATTTAAACTTAAAAGACTTTTTTTAAAAGGAAAAAAATTGTATATATTTAGTCTTATATATTTAAAATGTTTATTTTTAGTTAAATCAGGATATGTTGATGATTTATTTATAAATTATTTTATAGCAAATACTTTTTATTAATATTATTATTAATATATGACAATCTATTTATTTTGATTTGATTGAACTAAAGTCCTACTTAAGTCCTATCTGTTTTTAAAAGATTGTCAATTTTTACTTATGGAAGATGTTAAATTAATTCTTACCCATCCTTTTTAATATATAGATTTTCATTTTTTGCCTCCTATATTAACTTTGAATCTATCCCTAGTGTGGACAATATTATTTAGTTTGATTGGAAAATAATATGTTGTATATAATTATGTGAGACGCATTGATTTGTGACCATTTTAGCCTCTTTATAATTATATAAGATGCATTTCGATATTTTGTAAAAAAGTCATGATTTTAAAGTTATGACAAAATTACATTTATTATTGTAATGAAAAATGAAATTTACTTTTCAGTCGATGGATAAGACATTGATTCCTCATTCGTGAGAGGCGAGTTCATATGACCCATTTATCAGTGGCGCCAAGGTTATGAGTTGAAGTAATCTTGTTACATGAACGTAAATCAAATCGTAAACTTATAAAAATTTACTTTTATAAATAAAAAATTATTAAAAATATATGATTAAATAAATAAAATATAAAATATGATCATAATTTAATTTAAATATATTTTAAATATAAATAATTGAAATTAAATATATTTATATTGATAAATTATCATATTCAATATAAAAATTTTAAAAATATAACAACTTATTTTTGTTATTTTCTTTCTCTTATTGATATTAATATTTGCTTTTTGAATTTTATTTTTCTTTAGATCGTGTCCTACTGCTTTTATGAAGTGAATTCTATATATTATATATCTAATTTGTTCAACTTAGTTAAAAGTTAATAAGTTTAACCAGTTTAATCAATTGTATTTAGTCTAAATTTATGAGTATATTGACATGAGTATATAAAATTAAAAATATAAAAATGATAAATTCGGATAGTTAACCCGCAAGTTTAACTAAATTTCATCTAATTCAAATTTATAAATGAGTTGATATAATTTTATAAACTAAAAATATAAAAATGATAAACTTCAAGAGTCAACTCGACAGTTTAACAATAATAGTCTCCCTTGTAATGGTCTTGATTTATTATTTTTTAACTAACTTTTAATTTTAATAATTTATATTCTGATATTAAATCCATGAAAAAATCCATACAAAATCTAATTTGGATCCCTGTTTATTCTGCCAGTATAATATTTGCCTATCATTAATTACCTATTACTATGTGTGTATTAAAAAATGATAGAAAATCAAATTATTTATGAGCCATAAATAATATAATTTATTTTACTGAAATATGGAAATAGTCTAATTCATTTCAATTATATAAAATGCATGACAATATGGCTGCTCTTTTTTTTTTTAAGAATTACTTTCAGATCTCAAACATCATATTTAAATATTATAAGATTTTTTCACAAAAACAAAAAGAAATATCATAAGATTCATTGACAAGAATGACATTAAAATCTCAAACAATACAATTAAATATTTCAAGATTTATTGACAATTGAGATTGTCATTTTGCTTTCCTCAATTGTTAATTTAGATGTGTTATATAAAACTTTTATATATATATATATATATATATATTGCCGCGACACAACTATTCACCTAATTGAACATGTGTAAACATTTTTTATAGCAGAGAAAAACTTCAACTCAAAATTCTTTATTTATTAACTAATGATCATCAATATAATTACCATCGAACAATATAGTTATCAATATTAATGTAAAATATAAAATTTACATAATTTAACTTTAACTCTTTTTATGCTTCAATTGATTTTTTACTCATTCATTTTTTCGGCGAATATGTTTTATTGCACTTAATGCAACTTTTATCATTCATTTATATCTTTTGCAAATTTCGTTACGATTTAAATATTAAAAAATGCTGGAAAAAAATTTAAAAATAAATAATATAAAAATTTAAATTTTTATTTATCCTATGCATGTTGAAAGATATTCAGTTATTATACATTTTTGAGTATCTATTCACAAGTATTGCTTAAATTGAATAGTCACATATTCCTTAAGAGACTTTTTAAAAGCCCAACTGGATTCAAAATATAGAGAATTGAGTATGTTATATATATATATATATATATATATATCTCCAATTAGATCTTTACTATATTATGTTCCACTCAATCAATTAATGATGATATTTTAAATAAATCAAATATTATATTTATTTTGCTGCAGGGGTAAGAATGAAAATATGTAAAAATTTTAGAAAATTAAAATTTTAACAAGAAATATAAATTAATTAATGATGACTTACATCATGATTCAAATGGAATATATAACAAATAAAACCTACAAAGATGTTTTTAATCAAAGTGATTTTTTATGTTAAAAAACTCAATTATAAAGCTTTAAAACACTTGGTGACTTAGCAAACTTGTTAGGAGAGATTTGTCATTTAGTTTTAGTATTTTAGGGAGACAATCTCTGCTGCCAGTCTAATCCTTAAATTTTTTTTTTAAAAAAGAAACACTGTTGAGTCTGCGACAGCCATATAAAATTTTATTTCGTGCGCCGAATTTTTACTGTTATAATATATGATCTAAACAGTTGAGATTTTAATCTAATATTTCATTCAAAAGCTATGATATTAAAATTAATAGAACTCAAAATTTTTTAAAAATAAATTTAAACAACACAAATAAGCTTGAATATTACTTAAAAAATTTATTGTTCACAAGTAAATCCCATCAACATCTCACTTTGTTTAATAAACTAGAATGATCTTGCGCATTTAGTTTTTTGATAATAGAGAATATTTATCTATTAAAGAAAGTCATACAATATTAACAGACAAAAACTTGGAAAGGAAAAAGTATAATATCCTCCTGAACTTGTACATTTATAATATTATAGAAGATATTATTAATGATTTTGATGAAAAGACAATGTTAAAAGGTTAAATTTTTTATGTTCCCATTAAAAGTTAAAGAAAAATCTTTCAATAACTATAATTTTTTCAAAAGAAAATAAAATATTTTTTTTGTAATAAAATAAATCACCAGTTTCCTGTGTCATCCATTTTACAAACAGGAAGAAATTTGGGACATAGGTTTCGTGAGGAGGGAAAAATTTGGTAGGGAAGGTGCTAACGAGAGGGCCCAAAACCAAAATCATAAATAAGTAAAGATGTCATTTTCTGCTTCTGAAGCACGTCCTCGGCTTCTTCCAACATCAAACCCACTCACTCAGATATCCAATTTTCAAACTTGAAAAGCACTTCGTAATTGCATGAAGCAGTCCACGTGCCTTCCCTCTCTTTCTCTCTCTCTTTCCCTGCAATCTCAGACCCTTCTTCGTCCTGCTCTTCCTCTTCTTCGTGCCGTTTTGAACACATCGCCTCGACCCCACTTTCTGTCACTTTCCCGGGAAAATATATAATAATATAGTCCCTGAGTTGATGAAATGGGATTAAAATAATAGAAAAAGAATGGAACGCTGATTCCCGCTGGTAAGCATGGTTCGGTCGGAGAGCAAGTGTGGAAAAGAGTGCCAGATTGCGAAAACGAAGATTCTATAAAAGCCTTGATTTGGGGGTGACTCGCGGTTACCTGTTGCCATTTGGGGACTCCACCGACTCACCTGTCCTGTCTCATATTTTTCCTCCATCTTATCACTCTTCTACTGCGCCGTTCAATATTTTTGGTATTTAATTTCTCTTCATCTCTGTTTCATTATCCCTGTTTCTCTGAATTTGTCAGATATCCCTCCTTGTTTTGCTCAATTTGACTAGGGTTTGTCTCACTTTCCTGGATTTTGAACCTGTATACGAATGTAGCAATCGATTCCTTGCCCAATCCCTTGGATTTTGATTTCAATTCATTTTCTTCTGTTTTCTTGGGTTGATTTTGATCTTCTTTTAATTTAATCTCAATAGCTTTCTTTGCCATGGCGTTTGACCAAAATTCCGTTCCAAAAGATCTGCGACCGTTAAACGTAGCTCGAACTATACCTGATGAGCCTCTCATTGTACCGGCGACTACCATGGGTCGGACGTTAGAATGCTTTCCTCCAACTCCAGCTCGTGACGTCGGTAGCCCAGGGACTTTGCCAATTTTTTACCCAGCACCTGTGTCTGATTCTGGGCTTGTTGGTGTGGGGTATGGAACTATGTCATCGGGTCCTACTTCCTGGTGCGTTCGTCCAGGCGTGTCCATTGTGCATACGGCTATGAATCCTAATATTGGGTATAACTGTAGTCCTAATTTTGGCAATCGGATGGCTGGTGGCAGTGCTGTTGATATTTCAAGCAGTGTCGTTGCAAACGGACCTGGTTATGCCACGATTCTGGGCAACTGGGCTGGGGGCAGTGGCTTGGATAGGGCTGGAAACGATGCAATTAACGGATTTGGTTGTAGCTCTGTTCAGGGAAATAGAATAATTGGCAATGCCATTGGTAGTGATCAGGCAGGCAGTACTGCAGCAACTGGGTTTGGTAATAGCCCCACTCAGCGGAGTGGGGCTGATCTTGCTAGTGATGAGGGAGGGGATGACTCCGTGTCAGGGAGAAAAGTGAAGTTTTTATGCAGTTACGGTGGGAAGATTATACCTAGACCTAGTGATGGGATGTTGAGATATGTTGGAGGGCAGACAAGAATAATTAGTGTTAAGAGGGATGTGAGCTTCAACGAACTGATGCAAAAGATGGTTGATACATATGGTCAACCTGTGGTTATCAAGTATCAGCTCCCTGAAGAGGATCTTGATGCATTGGTCTCAGTTTCTTGCCCAGATGATCTTGAAAATATGATGGATGAGTATGAAAAATTAATTGAAAGATCTTCAGATGGTTCAGCTAAACTAAGGATTTTTCTGTTTTCTGCATTGGAACTTGATGCTCCTTGTGAGGTGCCGCTAGTAGATTTACATGATAGTGGCCAGAGATATGTTGACGCTGTGAATGGAATTACAGATGGAGTCAATTGCCGGCTTATGAGGAAAGGGAGTATCACAAGTGCGGCTTCAACCCAAAATTCAGATGTTAGTGCGGCTGATGCTCTTGATAGTTCTGTTTCTGGTCCTGGGGATATAAGTGCAACGCCATCATCTTGCATTTTGTCACCCAGAGACAATGTGGCAGCTTCTCATGACACTGCTGCAAAGTTGGTGGTGGCAGATCAAAGTCCAAGAGTATACTCGGATGCTTCTGCAGTTCCGATGGGCATGCCAGTTGCTGTGTCTGGTCCGGCCCAGACATCAGCTTTCCAGAATGAGGTTGAATTAGAAAAGTCTGTTCCTTTTACTTTACAGCAACAGCAATTCGGATCGCAGCAATCTGGAATGGACGTTTCACCTCCTGCACCTTATGTGCATCCTTTTGTTGATTCGCGTCAGGAAGTTATGAGTCATGCAGATTATGTCCAGCTGCCTCCTCAGGGAGGGTTCCCAAATTCTCACCTTTTAGGGAAGCAAGGGCCTGCCTTCACTCAACAGCAATTCCATGATAATATTCCAGCTTTTGTTTCTCACCAGTTCATCTCCGCAGTGCCAATGACAATGACTCCATCAGCTTCTCATGTTAATGTAAGAACAAACATTCCGCAACCATTGAGGCAACCTCAGCAAACTCGTTTGGACCAATATAATGATGAAAGTACATCAGGGCCTAAGATCATCCAGCTTCCTGTTGAACAGAACTACAATGCATACCCAGTTCAAGTTCCTTCTGTTGTGGTTGCTCGTAATTATGGTTGGGTTCAGGTTCCTTCACAAGAGAATGTTATTTTGTCTGATGGGTTGTTGCCTCAACAACAAGTAAGAACCCTGAGAAATTCCAAAAGGAGGAAGACTGTTATATGTGTCAGAAATTATTGCCTCATGCGCATTCAGATCCTGTGGTTCCTGATCAGCGAGAGAGTGTTGCAAATTCAATTTCTGATTCGATCCTAAGCTATCATAGTCTCCCCATGGAGGAAAACTTAAAAGCTCAAGCAACAAACAGGGTAATGGTGACTGCACCCTTGAAGGATAGTGCTATTGAACAAGGGATTGACACCAAATCCAGAGTCGTTAGCAAAGCGGAACCTCCCATTGGAATGCCTTGCACTAATGCAACAGGCCTTTCTTATAAGCTTGAGTCACAGCCCGAAGGGGAGAGGAGCGTTACACAAAAGCATGATGCCTTTGATCATATGAGGAGTCCCATTATCGCAGATGTGATTGGAAAGGCAGGAGATAACCAGTCACCGACTGATGGATTCATGGGGACAGCACCACTGTCATGCTTTGATGATGTTGTTAGCCAACAAATGATTCCAGTTGAGAACTGGGTTAATCAGGATGTGGTAGTGAATAAACCTGTTTATAGTGATACAACTCCTGTTCTAGAGTCCCCTAATGAGCGTACAAATGAATTTGTTAACTTGGTCTCCCAGCCAGTGGAAGGTAGTCAGATAGCACAATCATCTGTTTGGGACATTCCTGGATCAAATCCTCAGTCAAAAAGTGGAAACCTCCTCAAGGATGATAATTTACCATCTTTAATATCTCCATCTATCAGGTCTGGAGATGTGCAGGATTCTTCAAACTCACTTTTCAGTAATCAGGATCCCTGGAATGTACACCATAGTACGTACTTTCCTCCTCCAAGACCTAAAAGAGTTCCTTCAAAGAAAGAAATATATTCTTCTAAGGATCACTTTGGTGAGGAATTCACTGGCGGCTGTGGGGAACAAAGTTTAGAAGCTCAATTGGAGGAAAGTTTTTACCAGCAATTCAAACAGGGTTTAAATTTAGAACATGGCCATTCAGCCAAGGGTCTGTAACTTTTTAAAATTCCTAATATATGTATATATGTTAATTATCGTTTGATTGTTGTTCTGGAGTTGTGGATCACACAATCATTATCTTGTTTCTTTACTGAAGGCTCAGCCGAAGACCAGATCAAACAAGAACTTCAAGCTGTTGCTGAGGGTGTAGCTGCTTCTGTTCTGCACCCAAGCACTCCTAGTCCTGATTTACATGCCAGGGACATGTCCAGTCGGGAAGATGTTGGAGATGTAGATGATCTAAATAGAGCTAAAGCTTTGGTAATTTTGTTTACTTGTTCCTCAATATGTTTGTTATCTCATGCGCTATAATTGCAGAAACGATATCCAAATTAACATTTTCACCCCCTTTCTTTGTGGTGTGGTTTCATTACAATTAAGGTATAATCATATATACTTCCCTTTTAGGATGTCAAGAGCAAGCTTCCAGAAAAGCCAAATTTTGGCATTCCTTTATCAGATGGTCTTGGAGGATTGCAGGTTGATATTTTTTTGGCATTATATTTCATCTTCTATGCTTTCATGTTGTTGAATTAGCTGAACTGACATGTTGCTTTTGGTCTTTTGTAGATTATAAAGAATTGTGATCTTGAAGAGCTAAGAGAACTAGGTTCAGGTACCTTTGGGACTGTATATCATGGAAAATGGAGGGGCACTGATGTAGCAATCAAGCGTATTAATGATAGGTGCTTTGCTGGAAAGCCTTCTGAGCAAGAGCGCATGGTCTGGGTCTTTCTTATTATTGGTTACAATTTCCATTATTCTGAATTCCCTTACCTGACTAATAAAATAACCTGGTTAATTAATTCTTGGTTGGTGCATCATACAGAGAACTGACTTCTGGAACGAAGCAATCAAGCTCGCTGACTTGCACCATCCAAATGTTGTAGCATTCTATGGTGTTGTGCTTGATGGCCCAGGAGGTTCTGTGGCAACAGTAACAGAGTATATGGTCAATGGTTCTCTAAGAAATGCCCTGCAGAAAAGTGAGAGGTGGTGTCCTCTTATACTTTTGTGACTGAGTATCCTCCCCCAATCTCCCAATTAATTTGCCTTACCTTAATAAATGTACTGTTTCCAGAATCACATAAAAGTTTGATACTAACATGTTCGTATCAGGAATCTTGACAAGCGTAAGCGTCTTTTGATTGCAATGGATGTGGCATTTGGTATGGAATACCTGCATGGGAAAAATATTGTACACTTTGACTTGAAAAGTGACAATTTGCTGGTGAATCTCAGAGATCCACACCGCCCAATATGCAAGGTTTATTATATGCTCTATTGAGTTTTGGAAGCTTGTTTCTTTTTCATTATATGTGGTATACATGCATTTTGATCATACAAACACAAATCACTATAATAAAATTCGGAAATCACAAAGGCATTGATACATTGCATAGCTTAATTGGAAGAATCCTGAGTAGGTGTTGCAATTACTCAAACGGCAGAATCAGATAATTTTGCATCCAGAGAAGCGTCAAAATATTGGGCATCACATGGGTTGCTATTAGTTGGGTTCATTGCATCCTGATGCGACATGGCTATTAGGAACAATATTCTCATTTTCCCTTGGTGTTTCTAAATAAATTAAAACCCAAAATGGCACATGAAGTATTGTTCAGGTGCAGCTTGTACTCGTCTTTTTTAAGTCATCAGTGATGTCTGTAAAAAACTAATTCAATTAGCATTAAGCTGTCTTCTTTTGGCAGCATGAAAATCAAATGCAAATACACAAACTTGTCATGACTTGAAGATCTTATATAGTTGGATAGCGATTTTTAGATGAATATCAGTTTTTCCTTTGCCTATTTTCTTTCTTATATTCCTTTTCCAAATCATGGCAATGTTATTAGAATAAATATTTGATGTTCAAACTGCAGAGTCGCTGGTTTAAAAAAAAAAAAAAAGCTGGTAAAAAAAAAAAAAACAAATGAAGAGCCGTGTTGTGAAAGAGTTGTATTGGTATAACTGGATCTAGAGAAAACTTGGGTAATAAAGATTAAGGACTAATGACATTTGGGATGTCTGGGTATTTTCCTGTCGAGAACACATGGATAGTGGGGATCATCTGCACAATAAAAATTTAGATCTCATGTTACCAGTTCAGGATACTGCTTGTGTTCTTTGATATGATACTTGTGATGACATGCTGTTTGATACTTGCTGCAGTATGGAATATGGATGCATTTTAATGATTGGGAATGATGAATAAACGGTGACTAGATCACATATGGCATGCTCATCAATTTGCTTACTGAATTGCATTGGCATTTAGAACAATTGATTTAATTTGGTTAGCTTTTGATTATAGAAAATAATTCATTGTGCTGCTTCACAGAAGGCTCATTTTTTTCCTTAATTTGATTTCTTTCGTGAAAACTCCTCCATATGGGATTTTGAATATTGTTCTGAATTTGAAATTAGTTTTAATTCTTCACTTTTGCAGAGTTTTTTTTTTTTTAATTTGTTTTGCACCAACCTGATTAAGAAAAGGGGCCTGGTTACTATTGTTGAAAGTGACTTAGCTTAAAGATTCATGTTAGGGTTTAAAGTATGACGCTGTTGAATATATTGTTTCTTTTTGTTTTTTCCTGCTTTTGTTCTTCTCTTTTTTCCCCTTTTCAATCCCAATTTAAGGTTGGGATGCTCTAATTCTTCCTTGTATCTGTATTTCTTTTTATTGTTTTCTGTTATGTACCCCGTTATGATGGTTACATTACTTTGAACAGAATTCAGATAATTAAGGAAAAGTGTCTGAGATTCGGTCCAGAAAAAATGATGCTAGATTACTGCGTACAATCAACATTATAACTTTGAGATGCTTAATGTCTGGTCAATTGTGTTCTGAGAATGAATTAAAGTGGATAAAAAATACATCAACAGAAAAAGGAAGAAATCTGAGATGGCACTTTTTTCCAAAATTGAGGACAAACTGGAACTAATGAAGTCCATTGTTACAATTGTAAGAGAAAATAGTCAAAACTCTCAACTGATTCTTCCAGTTTTTGCCCCGGTACTTTGTAATTTGTTCTCTTTCTCTACTTCACATGATTGCCACCTTAAATGTTTAATATTTTAGGCTTTTAGGTTGAAATGTGCTATATTAAGTGCAAGGTGTTCCATCAATTGCTTTTAACTGATTTTTAGTGTCAGTGTTGTGCGCTTCTCATGGTACAATACAACAGCACTATTATTTTCATGAAGCAATTGGCAACACTAATTATTCCTGTATCTATTCATGTCATGCTGCAAACTTTCTTCACACTTGTGCTTCTGATAATACCAGGTTGGTGATTTGGGTCTATCTAAGGTGAAATGTCAGACACTGATCTCTGGTGGTGTGCGAGGAACACTGCCTTGGATGGCTCCAGAACTACTGAATGGAAGTAGTAGCCTTGTTTCAGAGAAGGTTTATGCTTCAACTAAATGATTGATCGTTTCTAATTAATACTCTAAATTTGAGACCTGTCATCTGATATTGTTGTGTTAGGTTGATGTGTTTTCATTTGGCATTGTGATGTGGGAAATCCTCACGGGAGAAGAGCCATATGCTGATTTGCACTATGGTGCTATTATAGGTAATCCGTAGAATGCATTCATGCTTGATGTTTTATTGTCTTGCTTTCAGCCATTGAGCTGCTTGTCAGTAATTTAAAGTATTAGAAACCAGGTTAATTTGATCAGTTGAACCATACTAAAAAACTGCTTTGTCCATGGCTAGTTGGATGATGGTTCGATTTGACTATTATTCCTTGAACTAGTGCATAAAGCACCTACTAATTTTCCTTCGCACAATTCAGGGGGTATCGTGAGCAACACTTTGCGGCCTCCCGTTCCAGAATCTTGTGACCCGGAATGGAGATTCCTGATGGAACGTTGCTGGTCGTCAGAGCCATCGGAGAGGCCAAGCTTTACCGAGATCGCTGATGAACTACGCCTTTTGGCATCAAAGATTCCTCCCAAAGGACAAGCTCAACAGCAGCAACCCTCTTCATTGCAGCCTCAAGTACTGAAATGAACTCATATCGAATTGCTTAAATCCAGCTTCTCCCTTTGTGTTTGTCTGTCATCATTGTGCAGTTTGTTATGGTGGGTAAGGTCAAGCAGTAACATAGTTCGTGAAAAAGGAATTAAGGTCTGGTTTTATTAAGTAGTTTCTATTACATTTCGTCCTCAATGAGCATGCCAGATCGTTTTTGGGGTTGCATATAAGGAAATGATTTTGCTTATATATTGGTTATGACGTTACTTGTAAAGGGTCGCTACTGTAATAAATTTTTACAATTTTTTTCCCCACCACTCTATGGTATTGTTATATCCTATATTCCTATTTGTGATATGTATTGGTTATTCATTTGATGGTGTTCTTTACATTAGTGAGCTCTGACAATTTCTCCAACACCTGCTGTGATTAATGGCAGGCAGCATTTGCAATTTGGTTCCAAATACATACACTAGTTGTATTCCTATGATTAAGACTTAAAAAAAAACTAATAAAGATTTGTTAGTTAGTAAGGATTTGACGTATAATTTTCAAGATCTTTGGATTCAAATCTCCTTGTTAATATAAATATCTTGATGAGTGATATTTTTTGTGAATGTTTTTTGACTTTAGAGAGATGTCTCTACTCTAGTGAGCTACTCTAATGAGCTCTTGAGATTTAAGGGTGTGCTTAGTTCAAGAGGAGGGGAGGGTAAGGGGGGGTTTATGTCACCTTGTTTGGTTTTATTAGAAGGGTGAGGTTTTAAATGATCTTTTGTTTAGTCTAAAAGGGTAGGTAATAACTAATTTATCATTATGCCTTATATATTAAATTTAATTTAATTTTTACTTTTTTTGAAATAAACCAATTTCATAATAGTAATTTTTTTAACTCACTTTGTATCTATTATTTTTTTTTTATGAAACCTCATCCTTCAAAAAAGTTATTATTTAATGCGCCTGGCTAAACAACATCAAGTGGAACTACAACTACGACAATAATGGTCTACATAGTAAGCAAGAAAACAACTTTTTTTTAATGAAGAATCTTAACGCATGACCGAGTTTACAAAGCAATTTAGTCCAGAAAACCATTTCGCACAAGAATCAGCAATATGACAAAAAGCACGCAAGAACAGAACAAAAGCTCAATACCGGTGAGAGTGACATGCATTGGTAAGAGTCTGGGGAGTGAAGTCGATTCAGTTCGTTCATTTTTATACATGGGCAATGATGGAATATAATAAAAGGCATGAGGGCAAAAAATAATTGGTCCCATCCAAAAAAATATAATTAGTTTTTATTCAAAAAATTTCAATTTGGACGAGACCAAAATGAGGGGAGGAAAGAAAATTTTACCTCCCTTTCCCTCCAAATTTTGTTAATCAAATGAGAGGAGGGGGACATTTTCCCTCCCCTCCCATCCTCGCCAATATCTTCTAACTAAATACACTTTAATTTATATAAATTTGTCTTTTCAGAAAAAGGATTATTTTGGATTCTATGTTATTAGTCCAATAGTTGTGAGATAGAAATAATACACTAGTTTCTTTGAGTGAAAGGATTTATTATCATTTAAATAAAGTTTATGATTCAAATTCTATGAATGGGAGAAAAATTACTTTGATGACTTACCTCTCATACGGCTTTCAACCACTAGTACAAAAATAACTTTTTACAGCGGTTAAAAACGACTTTTTACAGCGGTTAAAGAGACGATGTTGTTTCAGGGAATGTAGAAAGTCCCTCTTTTTATATCGGTTATAAACCTATGTAAAAATTAAATTTTTTACATCGGTTATAGAGCCGATGTTGAAAATTATATACAAGAAAATTAAAAAAAATTTACTTAACCTTTTTACACTGTTCAGATCCCAACCGGTGTAAAAAGTGTACTTTTTACACCGATTGTTACCACAACCGTTGTAGAATATAATATTTTTTACACTGGTTATTATCCAAACCAGTGTAAAAGTGTACTTTTTACACCCGGTTATTACCATAACCGGTGTAAAAAAAATTATATTCTACAACAGTTGTGGTAATAACCGATGTAAAAAGTATTTTATTTTTTTATACTATATTTATTTTATTAATTTTACCCATTCCTGTATATAGAAATTGTCAAATCAGACAGCCCAATTAATTTACAATTGTTTATCAAGTATCTATCAACTATACAAAGCTATTTAACTATTAAAAAAAAACTAATAATTGTCTAAATTGTCAAAATTGCCATTACTGTGCATAAAAATTGCCAAATCAGACAGCTCAATTCATTTACAATTGTTTATCAAGTATTTATCAACTATACAAAACTATTTAACTATTAGGAAAACTAATAATTATCTAAATTGTGTCAACTATCAAAATTAAAACATGTCTAAAAGTAACAAAAAACCTCACAAGTTCTCCACAAAATAGGTTGCCCAACGTATACGGATGTTTTCGATTTCAGCTTCAGAAAATGCATCCGAATTGTCGAACATCTAAAATTTGATTCATAAAGTAGGCATATTAATCAATCTCAAATAACATAATAAAATAAAATTTTTAAAAATATATATTTACCTCTTTTGTAAATTCGATCATGCCTAATGTGATAATATTGAGCATGTGCCTCATGACATATAGACCACACAAGTTCGTCCTCACCGGTTGTCTATGACTCTATATAAGAACAAATCATAAAAAATTAGTAAGAAATCTTAATAATTGAACATATTAATAAAGTATAGCATCACCTTTGGCTCAATCCATGTGAGATCCTTGAGCTCATGTCCATGCTTTTGTAAGACTACATTTTGATATGTTCTCATTGCCCTATGATCAAGATTACCAAGTTAGTAAAAATATTCAAAAAAAATTAAATTAAATAGTTTAATAAAATATTCTTACAAGTCTATCATCTTCTTCATTTCTTTCCCAAGTTTGTAATGGAGGGAGCATAAAAAGATGACAATGTTGCTCTTCATTGAAAGAACAAATAACTGCCAATGGTCCTTACTAAATATAATACAAGTTAAAGTAAATCCATATTAAAAAACTGTTAATTATAAATTGATCCTTACGAGTGCACATATGGAGCCATAAAAACGTCCTTTTTGACTTCACATATTCTCTGTTGGAGGTATGCGGCCCTTAACTCTGGAGTATTACCTTTCTCTGTCATGTGATGAGGGCAAAGGAATCCAAACTTATCACCTTTGCCCGATGTAATGCACAAATGATGAAGATACCTACAACAATGCAATTATATTAGTTTACTAAACTTGATGATTAAGTTTACTTACAACAATGCAATTATATTAAAGAAAAATATACTTACATCATAAATAGTTCAATGTGTGGTGTGGTAAGCTGATTATTAGATAGAAGTCGAACCAAATCTTCCCGTTCAATTGTAACTATCACGTCTTTCTTGCCCACAACCTCCGGATCCATTTCTAAACTCTTGAATTCGAATGATAAATCATACGCCATTAAGATCATTCGCTGATGCGGAGTCAACGAGGGTTGTGAAAGCTTTGGGAGATTCGGCAAAGAAAGCTTATACATAATAAAAAGACAAGAAATAGTTAATAAAAAACATATATTAGGAAGTTGCTACATAATAAAAATTCATGAAATTTCGTACCACAGCTTGAACTAGATTCACAAGTCTCTTGGGTCATAGGATAAAATTGTCAACAACTTCAACCACAGTCTTCACCTCATCAGTAGGGAATGAAACCAAAGCATCTGACACTTTTGGATCTGCAACCACCACTCTTACTTGATCATCTTGAATTTGCTTGTGGTGGATGGTTGACCCCAAGCTATAGATGCTACCAAGAGCAACTAGGCATTTATCAGGATCTTCTAGAAATATCTCACATGGTTCATCAATGTCACCAGAAGGACCCTCTGACACATGCTCAAGAATATTACTCCCTTTTGTACTATGAAATGCAGGAGACATATGAACTGGTTCAGCAGTTGTCTCTTATCATGAGCTCATCATGCTCATCATCTCCTCCTTCATTTGCTCTTTCATTTGTAGAAGCCGAGCTGCAAATGAAGCTTCAAACTCATCCTTAGTCTACTGCCTCACAGTGGATATCAATGTATCAAGCTCTTCTCTAGTCACTATACCTCTTGAATTGGGACGTGCAGGTGCTCCAAAGTAGTCCTTAATGCCACCGCCTTTATTTTTTACACCGTTTGCCTTCCAACCGATGTAAAAAGTACTCCATAAATTTTATATTTTGTACTAGTGAACAATTCCTATCTATATATAGATATTAGCCAAGGTAGTTCATTCTGGTTATCAAGATTTGGTTTTTTCTAGTGGGAATTTAAATTGTGTGTGGAAAAAAATTATATTAGAAAATATAAATAAATTACCCTCTAAACTTTAAGTTTAATAGTGCTATAGATTTGAATTAATTTATTAGGCAAATTATTTCCTCAACTTTTAAAAATAATATAGTTTGACCTTTACTGTTAAAAAAAAGTTAATTTTGATTATTAAATGACTTAAAAAGGACAAAAAAGAACATACAAAATTAGATAAAAGGAGGAAAAAATTATAATAAATGATCCAAAAATTACAAATAAAGACCCACACAATTTCAAAAAAGATTAAAAATATTTTTTTCATTTTTTTTTATAATTTTTGATGTTCATTTCTAGTCAATTAATGGTTAAAGTGATAAAACTATTGCTTGGTGTAACTTTGTGAGATAGTTGGATTGACTTTAGTCAATATTATTTTCCCAAAGCTACTTTAGTCATTTAATTTTTCTTTTTCTTGCATTTTATTGTATATATTTGTCTACTTGACTTTCTTGCAAAAAAAAAAAATGTATAGATATTCCTTGGGACTCACCGAAACACAAAGCTAGTAAAGAAAACAAAATTTAAAACTGTGGACAGCTAAGCTTGGTTTTCATGGACATTTCCTCCAAGAATCCTATAAAATGCTTCTCTGATAAATAAAAAGCCACCATACAATATCTGTGTATCTCTATCAACATGTCTGCTTTTGAGGAGAGGCCACTGGTGGAACACGGCCAAGATTTCTATGAGCATGAACAGGAGGGTAGTGGGTGTGGCTGTTTCCGAGTTCTTAGTTTCAGATGGTGGCGGCGGCAGCACGACGACAACAACGACGGCGGCGATGGAGGAGAAGGGTGGCTGATGAACAAGTTGGGGAAGATGAAGGAGGGTTCAGAAGTAATTGCAGGGCCTAGATGGAAGACGTTCATTAGAAAGATGAATTTGAGAAAGCAGAAGAACAGGTTTCAGTATGATGAACATAGCTATGCTCTTAATTTCAATAGTGAGGCTAACAGTGAAGAAGATGACGAAGACCTGGATTTTCCCCCCAGTTTCACCTCCAGGTTCATTGTTCCAATTCGCCATACTAATTCTTAAACATTTTTTTTTTTAAGATTTGATCTTTGTTGGTCGCTTTACATGTATGTGTTATTCATTTATTTAAAGATCATTATGTTTTTTATTCTTCGTCTTGCTCAATTTTCTCCAGTTTTATTTTTAGATGTGTTGATGAAAACGTTAACAATGGAACCAGATGTTTAGTTCAACTAATGAGAAAGTTATGTTAATTTAATAATTAATGAATATTTTAAATTTTAAATTATTATATAAATAGTATCATAAACCTTTACATTTTAAAATGTGAATAAAATTATTCTTAATTTTTAAATTTCGAGCACAATAGTTTAAAATTTAAGATATTCATTAATTTTAATTTAATCAAATGTTTTAAATTTTAGTCTTAGAAATACAGCAGCTTTGGTGGTAAAGTTACCCTCAAAAAATAAATAAATCATTCAATCATTTTGACTTGATCTATATTAATCTGACTTTTTAATAAGTTTCCTTAAATGCGAGGCAAGTCAATAATACTAGGTTTTACGTAATAGAAGAAGTGTTGTTAAATTATCCTACCAATTGTTACACCGTGTCAAAATACTAAATTTTGAATGCGAACAAGATGACGCAATTCTTATTTAAAAAAAAAAAAAAGCAAATCTCGTCCTGTGAGTTGATAAAAGCAAGGACATATCACATTGGAGATGATTAACAGCTAAGATCTCATGGCACAATTTGTTCTTTACCAAAAGCTATAGAGTCCTTCTTGCTTTTAATATAAAATAAATTTAATTAACTTCATACTTATTAAAAAATATAGTTATTTTTTTAAATTTATTAACATGTGTGTGTATAATTTTTTAATTTTATTCTTACAATTAATAATTATAATAAATCATTATCTAAGAATTCAAATAATAACAAACAAACAAGGGATAACTTTTTTAAAAAATAATACTTTACTTTTGCCTTATATTAAAGATGAAAAATCTTTCAAATTTTGTCATATATTAAATACTAGAGAGTGTATGATGCACATTTGTTTTTTTAAAAAGTATTTATATTGCATGAATAAAGATATTTAAATTATAAAGCTCCATTTGAAGATTAAAAATTCATTCATCACTCTTGTAATAATACTCTCTCCATCCCAATTATTTGTTGTTTAGGGTCCCATTTTATTTGTTGTCATTCTGCAAGTCCTTCTAATTTCTCAATTTTGCAGTAAATCCCTATAGTTTATTTTATTTTAATCAAATCATTGTAGTTTGAACAATTAAATATGTTAGTTCTTGAAGGTTAACATTATTAATGAATGTTAATTTTTTTCAAAAGAAAAATAATTTTTATAAAAAATTGATTTAATACCTTTCAAAAAAAATGTTAATATAATGTTTACATTTCTATTAAAAATTTTATCAAAAAATTATATATATATATATATATATAAATGATTTAGAAGACATAATATAATTATATAAATTTTCGATTATAATTTTTTATTTTTTAAAATTTTTTACTGTCTTTCTTAATCCTTGTGCCAGAACTCAAAACAACAAAAAATTGGGAGAATGGGGTTAAAAAAAAGGGGTAATTTGTTACGTGAGAATCTTCTCATTCACATATGATTTGGATTCTTTAGTTCATTAGGAAATTGGCATATTTATTAGGAAACTAGAAGTGGCAATCTTGCGATAGCACCTTTTCTCTTACAGTCAATGAATATAAATCCAACATTCAAGTTATTAATTAATCCACCAAATAACCCATTATGCAGTGCTCCTTCCAGTTTTAATTATAGGACAAAATGTTAAAATCTTATTTGATTCTAATCTAAATATATAACAACGAAGTAACAATTAAATTTTTTTCCAATATCACCCCTCCTTAATTGCACTTAGCTGTAATTCCTAGTTATATTTTATTGTGGTTATTAATTTTAGTAAAAGGTAAAATTAGAAAATTAAATTTTTTTTACAAGTTTGAAGATATTAATTATTTTTTATTTTAAAATTATACAATTAGTTAGCTTTACTTCATAGGAACATCAATGAGAATAGAAATGGTATCTAATGAAGTTAAATAATTATTTTTGATATAATTATGGAAAGGATAGATTTTATTGGGAAAATCACACACAAGGACCATTGAAATATGTTATTTACAGACAAGGATTAATAATAAGTCACCATTTGAGAAAAAACAAATTCATGTTCCCATGTTAATAACAATCAATTCATTGTTGGTTCTTATCTGTGAATAACATTTTTCAATGATCCTTGTGTGCAATTTTCCCAATTTCAATCCAAGGTTTATGGACTAATTGAGGATAAATTAGTAATTAAATGAGATTGATTAAGTTAATTATGATTCTGAATCTCTAATGGACTTATTTGATTATTTGGGTAGCTTTGGAATTGGCTAGGATGGTTATTAGGCCAACTAGGCCCAAGTTAAGGACCAAAATTTGTGTGTTGGGTTTTTGTACCATCCACCATGACGAATGCATTATGTGTCATGACAGATGAGGTAAATTTTGGAACTAAAATATGCTTGCATAAGCGAAAAATAGAAAAGGAAGCATATTCGTAGAAGAAGTTTCCCAATTAGTTGGAATATTCACCTAAATTGGATGCTACTTTTTGTTTGCCATGTTACTTGTTTAGTGATGGTCCAATGAATGACAGAAAAGATGCATTTATAATTCAAGGATTTCAATCTAAAAAAAATTTGATGATGGCTCTAATTATACCTTTCTTAATCATGTTGGAGATACTCATAATTCTCCACACAATTGTTGTGTACAAAGTTGTGATGCTTTAATGGACACACTCATAATTTGCAATATGTGTGGTGAATGGAATGGTTTACAAGCTTTACTTTTGAAATATTGTCATTATATATATTATATTCATTGTCTTGCTCATTATTTGCAATTGACATTAGTTGCTACTGCTAGAGATTAGTCATGTACACTACTTTTTTACAAAATTTTCGTTGATTATTAATTATATGTGAATTTCTTCTAAATGTCAAGCGTAACATCTTAAATTTTTATCCTTAGTTAATTAGTGGGATAATCAAGTTTAATTTTGTTAAATGAAGTTAAAGGACGGCTAAAGAGGGCTAAAGAGTGTTGGTGGTGTGTGGTTGCAGCTTGAGGATTAAGTTTGAAGTGAAATCGGGGCACCCAGGCTTTAAAGAGAGCAAAAAATTCAAGAGTTCTCTTGCTATACCATGTGTTACAACATGTGTTGTGTGAGCTACGGTGCATTACACAGCAAGAAGCCCCCTCTCTATGCTTGCACTACAGTGCATGATTAAAATTTGACAGAAATACTTCGTGATTAGACTTAAAAATCAGAAGAAGAAGAAGAAGAAATAGAAAATGAAGAGCATTGTTAGAGCCTTGTTAAGGCTTCAATCTTGAGGAGTTTAGAGGTGTTTTTAAGCCATCTAACCACAAGAGTAAGTCTCCTAACTCTTCCTTCTTCCTTCCCAACTCATTTTCTTTGGTCTTTTATTTAGACTTGATAATGGGAGATGATTTTCAGTTCATATAGGTTATGAGTCTAAACACATTGACTTAAATAGAGCTAATAAGAGTTTTTTTGAGTATTTAAACCTAAAAATTTTGGGTTTACTCATCAATGGTGGTGGTTGGCCATTAGTGTCCAATAATGAGCTATAAATTTGGATCTTTGAGGTAGATGAATGCCATTAATAGTGAGTTGAGCATTTAATGAAGCTAATGTGAGCTAAAGAGAGTTAATAAACTCAATGTGTAAGCTTGAATGTAAGAGACAAAGGTTTTGGTTGCTTAAGTGATGAAATTGAGAGTTGGAAGGGTATATATTGTAATGTTAATAAGCTTGGACTTGATTAATTATAGAATAATAATATGTGCATTGATTTGAGCTTGAAGAGCAAGCTTGAAAGCAATTTATTAAGGAACAAATCTTTGACCTCTCAAAGGTTTGAAGTAATTAGGAAAAATTTATTTTTGTATAGTTGTTTGTTAATTAATTTATGTTTTTAAAATGGGAGAATTGATTTGAATGATTGGATATTATGATTGCTAGTATGTTAGAAATCATATGAGGCTTTATTAAACCTAATTTAGCTATAATAATGAAATTGAACATGAAAAGTTTTCACATGGTGATTTTTATATTTGAATGAGGATTGATAAGTGGTATGATGATTGTATGTTGTAAAGTGTATGTGTTTAAGTTTTGAACAATGGAGAAATTATGAAAATGATTGTGACGCTCACATGCCTTAATTGCTTATATAATTGAAAGCATTAAGTTTGTTATCATAAGTTACAAGCATGTGTAATTGTGTGGGTGACACATGATTATTTGACGGGAGTTTGCCTAGGAAGAAGAGTAGACAAAATCCATCCCTTTGGTGCATAAAGGCTTGCCTTGTCTCACTATTTATTGAGAACTGTCCTATAATTTATTGAGTGACTTGAACCTAACTATTTTCACCTATTTGTCAAAGAGATTAGCTTAGGGTAGACAACACCTAAAGATTCAAGGATGGGGGAAGCCATGGTCCTATAGTGAGTGTTGTAATTTTTGGCCTGATCACTCCTCCCAATTAGTGAACTTAAGTAGTTCAATCATACAAATAAAGACTTGATTGATTTTATAGCCTACAATTTTAGTCAGAGGAAATAAAGAGAAATCAATTTTGCATATTTTCTTTGATATGTCACATGGTTGGCAAGTTTGTGGCAAGTTGTAATAATTGATTGTGCCATTATCACATGGTAGCTAGTATTGTGGCAATGTGCATCATTATTGTTAATAGGACCATTCTCACATAGTTGTCTTTTTTGTGGCAATGTGTTTTGGGATGTGAATTGTGAAAAAGATAGATAATAAGACAATGGCATATTTGTAAATTGTGTTATGTATGATTGCATGTAAATGAGCATTTAATTCCTATCTATATATTTTTATCAATTGATAAACAACTACATAAGATAGATGTATGTTAGTTATTGAGTAGTTGTGCTCATCTATCTCTTTCAATATTTTACAATTTAGTGTAGAAAGAGAAAAGGCTCTAAAGGCTTAGGAATCTAGTATTCTTATTGTAAAGC